CCAGGGTCCTCGGGACCCTTGGAAGCCGCCAGGGCTCGCGGTCCTGGTGATCGTCTTGGGGGCCGGTGGGTTTCGGGGGGCTTCGGCTGCCTCTGGCGGCTTTCGGTGGTCTCTGGGAATCCCCCTTGCGATCCTCGGAGGTCCATGGCAGCCCTCGGAGACCCTTTGTGGTCCCTGGTGTCTGCTTGGGCTCTTCGGGGGTCGTCGGGGATGTCTGGAAGCCTTTGGATGCCTCGGGGGGCTCGTCCTCCGGGGGGCTTGCAAAGTGCAAACGCACAAACATATGCACATGTGCATGTGCAAATACAGATGCACATGCCGAAATAATGATGATCCGGATTTGTGGTACGTTGTGCGTTGCAGGAACGATGCGTTGCTGTCGTCATTTTGCAACTGGTTTATGCTTGCAGGCGCAGTGGACTTGGGGATACCGCCAAGGGGTCCGATCAGGCTTCTGGCGGCGGTCCGCTTGTGTAATTGTACGAAACCTCTGCGTCGTTATATCTGTTACGCTGTTGTGTGCTTGCACCGAAATATTGGTGCAAAGCGCCCATTCTACAGACCCGCTGCGTCGAAGTGGTCTCGCGTGGCGGCCCTCCTCCATAGCGGCATCCATGGACGTTGCGCACTGTTGTGCAGCCGCGTGCGTTTGGTTGTGTTTTGAGCGTGTTTGGTTGTGTTTTGAACACCCCTTGGCTCACTCAGCGGCGGTTTGATCGCCCCCCCCGTCTCCGCCACCCCCATGTGGATCTGAAGGAGCGCACGGCCCTTTTGCTTCTCGGCTTCCCCCTCGCGGATGGGCGCCGCCATGCTTGGGCTTGACGAACATCTGGAGCTTTGCGATGTCGACAACGTGAGTCAGCACTGGGAGCATGAAGCCGCCGTGGGACGCGTGGCTCGTAGCCGCGTTGGCCTGCTTCCTATCGTAGGTTGTCCCGGTCCACCAGTGCGCAAACGCAAATTCGGCTTCGTCGAAAGCGTCGGCCCCTTTGTCGCGCGGCTTCGACGCGGGCGCGACAAAGAACTATTCGCCCGGCGGAAGGCCCATTCATATGCCGCTGTGAATGCCTTCGTTGTGTGCACCGCATTCGGTGGAACTCCCATTGGGACTGCCACGTGTGAGGGGTGTGCCAAAATGGGCGCGGTGAGCGCATGCGCGCGCTGGCATTTGGGCCTTCGGTGGGGCCCCATGTAGGGCCGCGAAACGTGGTGTGTGTGTGTGTGTGTGCCAAAATGGGTGTGGTGGCTCTATGCGAACGCTGGCATTTGGGTCTTCGTTGGGGCTCCCTATGGAGCCGCGAAGCGTGTGAGGGGTGTGCCAAACTGGGCGCGGTGGGCGCGTGCGAACGCTGGCATTTGGGTCTTCGGTGGGGCTCCTTATGGAGCCGCGAAACGTGAGAGGGGGGTGCCGAACAGGGTGCGGTGGCCGCATGCGCGCGCTGGCATTTGGGCCTTCGGTGGGGCTCCCTATGGAGCCACGAAGCGCGTGAGTGGTGTGCCAAAATGGGCGCGGTGGCCGCGTGCGATCGCTTGCGCGTGGGCCTTCGGTGGGCCCCCCTAGCCACGAAGCGTGTGAGGGGTGTGCGAGACTGGGTGCGGTGGCCGCATGCGATCGCTGACATTTAAGCCTTCGGTGGGGCTCCTTGCGGAGCCGCGAAACGTGACAGGGGGGGTGCCAGACTGGGCGCGGTGGCTCTATGCGAACGCTAGCATTTGGGCCTTCGGTGGGGCTCCCTATGGAGCCGCGAAACGCGTGAGGGGTGTGCCAAAATGGGTGCGGTGGCTCTATGCGAACGCTGGCATACAGGTCCTCGTTGGGGCTCCCTATGGGGCCGCGAAGCGTGTGAGGGGCGTGCCGAACTGGGCGCGGTGGGCGCGTGCGAACGCTGGCATTTGGGCCTTTGGTGGGGCTCCCGGTGGCCGCGCGCGAACGCCGGCACGGTGGGGCCCCCTCATGGGGCCGCGAAGCGTGCGAGGAGCGCGCCAAAATGGTTGACTGGTTGGACGGCTCAGGCAGGAAACGGAGGGGGAGGGGGGGGGGGGAGAGGAGAGGAGGAGGAGAACACGGTGCGCTGCCACTTCAAAACGAGGACCCAACGCCACAGGATGGTCGGGAATCAAAGCGCGGTGATGCTGTCAACCTCGCGATCGCCAAGTGGCACGCCCGACTCATTGGGGGTGTTCTTCGAACTTGTGTTGACCAGCGGTGCCACTGGGACCAACGTGAGCTGACCCTCTCTGATGACGCTCGCGGTCCGAACCTCATCTGGCTTCCGCCAGAAGACCAGCTTATGCCTGCCACCGTGCTTGGCGTCTAGCCCGAGAAGAGCTCGGCACAGCGCGGCCTTTTGCTGGTCGGTGCGCAGCTGACGGGGGCGCTCATGATCACCCTCCATCCGCTTTGGCGGCTCGGCCTTCGAGATCGACCACTTCTCACGGAGATCGCCCAATGTGATCTCAGCCGTGTGTGGCTCTCCGCCGTGGTTGATTGCCTCGTGAAGCTCGACGACATGGCCGATGCCGAAGACCGCGTGAACCCCCCGGGCTGCAACGGTTTTCTGCGCCACAGAAGTCCCAGCCGAAAGCCCGGCCTTCCTGGCTGTCCACGTCGGGTCCTCATGGTCGTGGAGCGTCGCCATGGTAGACGCTGCAGCAGTCGGCTGCGCCGTGGCGCTTGCTTCGGCGTCGCCGCCCGAGACCGCGTACTTATCCCGCTCACCGATCGTGGCGGTCTGCCCCCTGATGCCACTGACGCTGTGCAAGAATAATTTGCGCATGTCGCCCCGCGCGTGGATTTTCCCCTCCCGACCCAACTTCTCCCTCCCCGCGAGCCTCAAACCAGCCCTCGCGAATAGCTGCCCTAACGGATCCAAGGCCGCATCAATGCCGTCGAGCCTCTCTGCGATCTCCACTGCTTCGCCAAGTCCGCGATCAACAATATCTGCTTCAGCCTGCTTAGGCTTGCCTGCGGCTTTCAAGACGTCGGCCTATATTAGCAAGCGCGCCGCGCCGTCCTCAATCCTGTCACCGGCGAGGTTTGCAGTGGCGAACGCCGCCCGAACCAACGGATGCAGGTTGGTTTTCGACGCGAAGACTGCGTCTGTCAGCGCCCGCCAAAAACTCGGGCCAATAATCGCATTGCAACCGAATTGTTTTGCAACGGAGTCCGTGAACGCCACGAGCGGGGCGCCGTGACCACCGCCGAAACTCTCGACAACGTCCAGAGCAAAGTCTTGCTGTATTTTGCGCTCGGCACGTTGAGCGAGGCAACGCTCTCGATGGCCAACTCTTTCCAGCCCTCGAGCTCGCGCGCCCCTGGGTCATTGGCACTCGCCGCCAATGCCGTGCAGGTCTCAAGCCCCCCGACCTCAGTGCCGACGTGATTCTGCGTGTTCAAAGCCCTCTGGGCACTGTGACAGCAAAAGCTGGGTGTAGCTCGCCAGTCGCACCTGGGACCACCTCCCACGCCCAGCCTTTTCAGTCATGGTTTTGAACTGCTCGTTTGGGCAACTTTTGTAAATCTATCTTGTCTGCGCCCATGACTTGCAATGACTTCTGAAACGTCTTGCCCTGTGCTCCCGCCTGCTTGCAGGAAGCCGTGGCGCGCCCGCGCCCGGCTGTCGCCTAGCGCTCGGACCCATTCACGGGCGCGAGAAGCCCTGGGGTTCGATCCACCAGCTGCATATTTTCAGCAACGCGCTTCCAACGGAGGAGGGAACTGACCCAAAGCTCGATGCACAGCGCATTTGATAGCTGGCGCATGTCAGCTCCGTAAGCGTGGATCCCAGCAGCATTGCGGTGCACGTTGCGCGGGCTCAGCAGACCCCCCCCCCGCGATTCACCATATGCGTGATGAATACCTTCGGAAGACTGTGGTCCGCAGTGTAAGCCAACTTGTGCTCCCTAAGGCATGTCATAACCGTATCCAAGTGCTCATTCGCCTTCGCCGTTTTCAAGTCTAAGCTCTTCTTGAACTCCTGTTAGAAAGGTTCGCTCAGCTGGGCCATCCTATAAGCGGTAGCTGCGCGCGTGAAATGGAAAGCCCGGACAAGGAGAAGCTGATGCTGCGAGCCAAAGTGGCTATGAATGACGGGGCCGCACAAACATACAACGTGCCCCACCATGCCCATCAAAGGCTTGGTTAGTGGATCGCATGACCCCCAATCAAATTTTACATTTCACATCTGGAACTTTCTAAATTTTGATGTTGGCATGTGTCATGGCGGTTGTTTTTGCATCCCCCGAACGGGCCCTGCGATGCGATTCTCGAAGTCATCCCGAAGCCGAAGTATGGATCTCCATTGCTAAGACCCACGCCACCAACACACTCTTACTGACCGACGTATGGGTTGTGCAATCGTGGTTGGAACAAACTCCACATTCAAATGCATGACAGGATGTACCACGTGGATTTGGATTTCTAGCGTTCGTGCCTCATTTGGTCTTCAAGTTTGTAGTGCATCGGACACAACATGGTTTTGCATGGGAAGTTACATGGTAAACACAGCAATGAAAGTTCTGATCCTGTTAAGGTGGATCAGGTGTGCCATGTCGTAGGGCGAATTTCAATCATAGTACCGTTAAACATTTATATTGACATATGATAAGCACCGTATTAACCTACCATAAGCAGTTTATCACACAACACATCAGACTTTATGATAAACCCGGGGACGATTTAGCAAACGCTAAATTCATTATAGAGCTTATGCTGAATTTCTAAGTTATCGCTGGGACTTGCCAGATCTGATAAACACCAGGTTGTTGTAATCTTACAACTCGGTTGTAGGCACGTTGCAACTACTTTAGCACCTCCTTACAACGCTCCAAAGCTTTAGCAAAGCCGGCATTCATCTCAGTACTGGTCAAACATGGTGGAAACATCGTTCAGTTTAAAAACTATTTCTGAAAAGCCCTCCTATAGGGGGACAGGCCCGACTTAAACGTATCCCTGTCCCTTGGCCACCACAGCCGCGCGGCCCGGCGCAGCGGGGCGCGGCCTCCTGCCGCCCGCCCGGGCGGCGCCGCGGCGGGGGCCGCGCGCATGGGAGGCGGACGTCCTCGCCGCGGCCCTGTCTCCTCCTCCGCCCTCCCTGCCTCCTCCTCCCCCCTCCTCCTCCTCCTCCTCCTGCTCCTGCTCTCCCTTTCCCCCCCTCCCTCCGTCCTCCTCCGCCCTCCCTGCCTCCTCCCTTCCCCCCCCCCGCTCCCTCCTCCTCCGCCCTCCCTGCCTCCTCCCTCCGCCCTGCCTCCTACGCCCTCCCTCCCTCCTCCTCCTTCCTCCTCCCCCCCATCCCTCCTCCTCTGCCCTCCCAGCCTCCTCCTCCGCCCTCTCTGCCTCCTACACCTTCCTTCCCTCCTCCTCTTCCTCCTTCTCCTTTTCTCCCTCCTTCTCTGTCATTCCGCCCCCGTCCCTGGCCAGAGCACAATGCCCAGAATGGGCCTGGCCACGCCGGGAGGACGTGGCCAGCAGGGGGGGGCGTCGGTTGGCGAATATCGAAGTCCGACGTCGTCGTCGACCAACGATGACCGTCGATCGACCGACGGTCGATCGACGTCGGCGATCGGCGATGTCGTCGACGATCGATAGACGATCGTCGACGTCGGCTCGGCGATCGGAGATGTCGTCGACGATCGATCGACGATCGTCGACGTCGGCGATCGAGGGTGTCGCCGTCCTCGCAGGGGGGTCGTCGCCGTCGTGGTCGTAATCGTCTTCGTCGTCGTCGGCGGCCGCGGTGGTGGCGACACCATCGACGCCCGAGGACATGTTTTCGGGCGTCTCGGGTCTGGGAAGGAGGAGGAGGAGGGAAGAGGGGAGAGGAGGGAGGAGGAGGAGGGAGGATGAGGATGAGGATGAGGATGAGGATGATGATGATGATGCTGCTGCTGCTGGTGATGATGATGATGCTGATGCTGATGCTGATGCTGCTGATGATGATGATGATGATGATAATGATGTTGATGATGGTGGTGCTGATGGTGATGCTGATGATGAGGTTGATGATGCTGAAGCTGGTGCTACTGCTGATGATGCTGATGCTGATGACGATGAGGATGCTGATGATGCTGATGATGATGACGAGACTGAGGCTGAGGTTGAGACTGAGGATGAGGATGATGATGCTGATGCTGCTGATGATGATGATGATGATGATGATGCTGATGAGGATGATGATCAGGACGAGGACGAGGAGGAGGAGGAGCAGGAGGGAGGAAGGAGGGATGAGGTAGGACAGATGATGAGGATTGAGGAGGGCAGAAGAGGGAGAGGCGGGGAGGAAGCAGAGAGGAAAGGGCAGGGAGGGCGAGGGGGGAGAAGGAGAGCAAGCGAGGGTAAGCTGGGTGCGCTGGCGCCCCTCCCATCCCTTCCGATTGTGCTGATGTTTTCTCGATCCGCGGACGCGTGTCATAGCCGACCTGGAAATCCACAAAGAAAAGCTCATCGTGCCATGCGCAGTCGGATACGGGAGCATTGTGGGACCGGTGCGACCTGGGGGACCTCTGTGGCCTGTGAGACCTGTGAGACCTGCGGGACCTGCGGGACCTGTCGGACCTATGGGACCTGTGGGACCTGCGAGACCTGCGACTCCTGTGGTACCTGTGGGACCTGTGGTGCCTATGGGACGACCTGGGACACCTTTGGGTCTTGTGGTGTGGGGGCCTTCGAGACCCGTGGGATCCAGAAAAGTGGCCCACGCTTAACTGGGATCGCTCTTCGGAGCGACGGGAGTACATCGCCGATCCGAAAATGAGGCCCGCGCTGCAGCGGAAACATTATTTCGAAACACCAAAGACAATCGGATTGTACAGCACACTAAATAAAACAACTTTTGAACTCCTGTGTTAAGGGCGAGGGGAGGAAAAAAGCAGGAGGAGGGGGGGAGGGCGGGGAGGGGTGGAGGGCGGGGAGGGGGGGGGGGGGGGGGCGACGGCTTTCCAGACTGCCTCCCTCCTCTTCCCTCCTGCTCCCTCCTCCTCCTCCTCCTCCTCCTCCTCCTCCTCCTCCTCCCCTTCCTCGTCCTCCTTCTCCTCCTCCTCCCCTTCCTCGTCCTCCTCCTTCTCCTCTTCCTCCTCCTCCTCTGGCCATGTCACAGTGCCCCAAATGAGCCGGGCGACGCCGGGAGGAAGTTGCCAGCATGAGAATGGAGGTGTGAAGAGGACAGGTGCAGACGATGACTCGGGGATGCACAGAACCCCCTTCAGCAAAACGTGGTTCAGTGAGAACGACCTCGGGCCCAAACCCGGAGGGCGCAAGCCTGGGAGATGACGGCCGCGGCGCTCTCTCGAGAACCGAAAACGGACAATTCACTAATCGACGTGTCAGGGTGGGGGCCCTGTCCACCCCCGAATGACCCACCCTCCTGAGGATGACGAGAAGGAAGGAGGAGGAGGAGGAGGAGGAGGAGGAGGAGGAGGAGGCGGAGGAGGAGGAGGAGGAGGAGGAGGAGGAGGAGGAGGAGGAGGAGGAGGAGTAGGAGGACGACGACGAGGAGGACACCGACCACCCAAGGGACAGCGACCCCCTTCCGAACCCGAGCTGTTCCCCGTCTGGGCGTCTCGACTGGAGTGCCAACAGACGGCGAAGAAACGTGACTGCTGCCCCTCCCTGGACCTCCTCGCGTCATAGCAAACATTACGAGCGGCAATATTTGGCCGCGGCGGCTCCGCTTCAAAACTGCCTCCGAGAGGCTCAGGAACACGCCCCAAAACAGCTCCCAAGACGTCCACAAAAATCCCCAGACAGCACCCAAGAAGCCCACGACGCCTGAACCGTGGACCCCCCGCCTGATTCAGGGGGTCGGCGGACTGGCGCAAACCTCTCGAACAAAGACGACTGCTGCCCCGACTTCTGACGCAGCTGCGCTGCCACTGCCTTGGCACCTCAGCTTGCAAGCGGCCGGCGGCACTCGCAGAAGGAGGAGGGGGAGGAGGAGGAGGAGGAGGAGGAGGAGGAGGAGGAGGAGGAGGAGGAGGAGGAGGAGGAGGTAGAAGGGGAGAGGAGGAGGAGGAGGAGAGAGGAGGAGGGAGGAGGAGGAGGAGGAGGAGGAGGAGGAGGAGGAGGAGGAGGAGGAGGAGAGGAGGAGGAGGAGGAGTAGAAGGGAGGAGGAGGAGGAGGAGGTAGAAGGGAGCAGGAGGAGGAGGAGGAGGAGGAGAGAGGAGGAAGAGGAGGTAGAAGGAGGAGGAGGAGGAAGAAGGAGTGAGGAGGAGGAGGGAGGAGGAGGAGGAGGAGGTACAAGGAAGGGAGGGAAGGAGGAGGGAGGGGAGAGGAGGAGGAGGAGGGAAGAGGAGGTAGAAGGGAGGAGGAGGAGAGGAGGAGGAGGAGGAGGAGGAGGAGGAGGAGGAGGTACAAGGGAAGGAGGAGAAGGAGGAGGAGGAGGAGGAGGAGGAGGAGGAGGAGGAGGAGGAGGAGGAGAGGAGGGAGGGGGAGGAGGGAGGATGGGGGGCCCTCTCTAAGACGCCTGGGGGGCACGGGCGCACGGGCACACGGCCTGCGCCGCGCGCGAGTGCTGCAGGGCAGGGCCCAAGCGCCCAGAAGGCCCGGCTGCCTGCGGACGAGGCGAAGCCCTGCACGCGCCACACAAAGGGGAGCTCAGCATCGTTACCGAGAGATTGTTAGGGGGCCACACGCGAACCCTACCCCTACCCCCCACGATTTCTGGGGGGGAAGGTGGGGTTCACTTCATTCGGAAGCTCCCGAGCGAAGTGAACCCCACCCTCCCCCTCAGAAATCGTGGGGGGTAGGGGTAGGGTTCGCATGTGGCCCCCTAATTGTGCGCAGGAGGCCGGCCTGCCGCTCACTGGGCGGATTAGTTGCTTTGCCGCAGGCGATGTGTGCGCAACGCGACATGGGAAGGAACGGGAGTCGAAAGGACGACATCGACCGCCGTAATCGGGTAGATTACACTTGAGGCCAAACTCGGAGAGATGGGAGCCGGAGTCGGAACATTGGGACCTGGAGGCGGGAAATTGGGAGCCGGATTCGGAGAGATGGGATCCGCGGTCGGAAGCACCAATACGGTCGCCAGAGCTGGAGGGGCGGGCGCCAGAGCGGGAAAATCGGGAGCCAGAATCGGAAAAAGTCGGGACCACGAGTCGGCGGTGGACAAACCTCCCTTTAGTAAACCTCCCTTTAGTGAAAACAGCCTAGGACCGAAACCCACGGACCTGGACCCGCAAAAATGACGGCCGCGACGCCCTCTCGCGAACCGAAAAAGGCCAATTCACTAATCGACGTGTCAGGGTAGGAGGTCTATCTACCCCCGATAGAGTCGGCGAGATAAATAAATAAATGAATACATGAATAAATTAATAAATCAATACATAAATAAATACATAAATAAATACATACATACGTACATAAATAAACACATCAATACATACATACATACATACATACATACATACATACATACATACATACATACATACATACATACATACACACATAAACACATACACACATACATCCATGAAAACATACATCTCTTTCTATATATACAAATACATAAATAAATAACTAAACAAATAACTACATGCATACATCAACACATAGATACATACATACATACATACAAACATAAACACACATATATATATGTATATATGTATATTTATATACATGTACACACCTGTATATATATATATATATATATATATATATGGGAGCCGGAGGCGGCAGGAGACGAGAGGCGGGAAGCATGTCGAAGACGGTGTCGACGAGGCGGGCGCCGAGCAGCCCCCCGCCCCCGAGGTGTCTCCGAGGGGGCCCCGCCCCCCTGGCGCCGGCCGCGCACGCCTCGCGGGGCCGGCGGGCGGGCGGGGGCGCAGGAGCGCGGGCCAGCTGGAGGGCATGGGGGGGCCTCCGGAGGCCGACAGGAGCCAGAGCCTCTTCGCTCCTCGATGCCTCGATCCCTGAACATAGGCAGAGCCCCACGATCCTCGATCCTCGATGCCTCGTTCCCTCGATCCCAGAAAATAGGCAGAGCCCCACGATCCCCGATCCCTGAACATAGGCACTTGGCATCGCTCGGACGTCCATTCCCGGT